TGGTCTGCACTATGGAGCTGATGGTGACCTTGATTTTTCTGATTCTGGCATTATAGCATGTGCTACCATGACTGGTTTTATGTGGTACCTAGAGATGGAACTCAGGACTTGTCTGTTATAGTCTATCTGGGCTATATCCTCAGTTACTAATCCCATAAAGCAGTTAGGTTTGGAAGGTAACCTTCTCTGAGGTTTGCTTGAAAACACATTGCTCAAGTATCCATAGAGCTAAATAGGGCTTTGTATTAATGGGTCTCTGAGGGTAATATCACGTAGCACTGTAACGCAGAGAGAACAGTCTTCTTTTTTTTTTTTTTTAAATATTTATTTTATGTGTATGAGTACATTGTAGCTGTCTTCAGACACAGCAGAAAAGGGCATCAGATCCCATTACATATGATTGTGAGCCACTGTGTGGTTGCTGGGAATTGAACTCAGGACCTTGGGAAGAGCAGTCAGTGCTCTTAACCTCTGACCCATCTCTCCAGCCCTGAGAGCAGTCTTCTCAAGCAGAGAGGTCTTCTGTTCCCCCTGAGGAGTTCCCTACCAAGAGGCTTAGCTGCTAAACAGTTCCTCCTAAGATACTCTACAGAGAGAGTTAGAAAAGGAATCCATTGGGTCCTCTCATAAGAAACTAAGCTTAACCCATTGACACTATAGCCAATCAGCTACTGACACACACACCCCTCCAAATAATTTTTACCAGTTTTAGCTAAATAGAACTGCACTGTTGCCATAGTAACATTGTGGCGCTCCACTCATGTGTCACTGAGCTTCTGCTCAGTATTTCTCTCTGAAATGAGTATGAGGCACAGTGCAAGAGTTTCTGTGTGTATTTGGCAAAACTGCATTTCTGTTTTTGCTGGGAAAAAGACAGAACTAAAGAGCATGAAATCCAGCATGGAAGCACATGACTTTAATCTTAGCAGTTGGGAAGTAGAGGCAAGAAGATCAGGTCATTGTCCAATATATACCAAATTTGAAAGCAGCATGAGCTACAGGAAATCCTGGTTTGAGAGGCCATGGGATGTTGCAGACTGAATCCTAGGCACTCGAGACTAAGGTAGTAGTAAGATTATGAGTTTGAAACCAGCTTAAGCTGTATACTGAGTTCAAGTTTACCCTAAGGTGCAATGCACAATGAGCTCCTGTCTCTAAACACGGAGAGCAGGCTATTATTCTGTTTCTGGTATGCTGTTGCTATTACTAGTATGTTCTGGTGTCTGCCTCTCTAAAGAGAATTAGAAAAATAAACTTTGTTGTTATCCAGGAACATCTTGCAAAATAGGTGGGCCTTGTGTGTCATCCTTAGGAACATAAATAGAATTCTTTCTTAGTTAGGGGTTCATTGATCTGAAGAGACACCATCTGATAAAGGACTATGTCTAATTGGGCCTGGCTTACAGTTCCATAGGTTTGGTCCATTATCATAATAGGAAGCATGGTCATATGCAGGCAGACGTTGAGCTGGAGCAGCCAAGAGTTCTACATCTTGATCCACAGGCAATAGGATGGGGCTGAATCCATGGCCAGGCTGGAGCATATATATATGACACCTCAAAGCACTGCCTCCACAGTGACACATTTCTCTTAACACGGCTATGCCTCCTAATATCTCCACTGCCCATGCACCAAACATACTCCGACCACAAATGCTATGCAGCTTTCTGACCATACAGAAAAGTAAGACATGTGTTAATGGTAGCTAGTATTTACAGGGAGGCATGAATTCGTATGGTGGAGATGGAAGAATTAGAGGGAAGAATAAGCTTAAGCAGTTTATCTTCCTAAGAGGTCATCTGTAGAAGTCAGTGGTCATCATCTCAGCCTTTGGTGACCTACATGAGAAAGGAACTAGGAGATTCTCAAGGGTTTTCTAATGCAGTGTTTGAGTAGCCGTTCATCCTCTAGGGCTTGGGTACCTACCATGTGGTGGAGAGTCTCAGTTAATGTGGCCTTTGTTTGCTTTTGGAGAAGCCGAATATATTTTTCCATAGTGAAACCTGACTTGCTCTTGCAATGAAAGTGGCTGAAAACTTGTCATCCCATGGCATGTTTTGCCATCCCAGCTGAGGCTGACTACCAAATGACTTTGGGAACAGGAAAAGCCATTGCAGACCCACTGACTCTTTTACTCCTTCAAGCAATGTGTTGCATTTTTCCAGGTTTTGGGACTGCGTGTCAATTATGTTGCTTATGGAGAATGTTGCTGCTCAAGGGAACTGTACAGTAATATACAGCTAGCAATTTGAATTCTTTTCCACTCAGAGTGGTGGGAGATTACCCTTGCTGATCAAGGAGGATCAAATAAAGAGGAGAGCAAGGGACGCTTGGATTATGTCATGACACTAGAAGAAAAACAGTATTATTGGCTACATATGCTGTAAACTCTTTTGCTTTTCCCACAGGACAAGATGACTGGAATGGGACCAGGCCATCACTGAAGGCTCCTCCAGCGAGGCCAGTGAAGGGAGCATACAGAGAGCACCCATATGGACGTTATTAAAAACAAACAGGAGGGGAAAATATCAGTTATGAGCAAAGTTGTTACTGATTTCTTGTATCCCAGGATTCCTGTTGCTTTACTCACAACAGACAAGTAATTGTCTAAGTGTTTTTCTTCGTGGTCCCTTTCTTTTCCCCACCTTCCTCCATTCTTAACTCTGCATTCTGGCTTCTGTATGTAGTATTTTAAAATGAGTTAAAATAGATTTAGGAATATCGAATTAATTTTTTAAGTGTGTAGATGCTTTTTTTCTTTGTTGTTTAAATATAAACAGTGTACCTTTTATAATAAAAAAAAGTTGAGTTAAAAAAAAAACACAGACATGTTAGTTTCAAAAGTGGCATTGCTTGCTTAAAGGTTCTGAAGTAAAGGCTTGTTAACTTTTTCTTAGTTTTGATTTGAGGCACCCCGTAAAGTCATAGTTGCAGAATCCCAAACTAGGCTACATTTCAAAATTCAGGGCTGCTTAAGATGTAAAATCAATGTTAACGGCAGTAGGTGCCACCATGTAAAAGTGAGCTCAGATGTCTCTAAAAACATTTCCTTTAAAAGCACATGGCGGTTGAATCTTAAGGTTAAATTTTAATATGAAAGATCCTCATGAATTAAATAGTTGATGCAATTTTTAACGTTAATTGACTTAAAACAACAACAAAATTAGGTTTGTAAAACTGACTTTTTCATTATGTGGGTTTTGAAATCTAGCCCCAGACATACAGTGTTGAGAGATACTTAGTGGGGGAGGGGTGGGGTTTGAAAAACATTGATGGGGGAGAGAAGCTAGCCACCTAAATGGAATCAGATAGAGTTCTTTTTAGCCACAATCTTTTCAATAATAGTACTAATAATCAAATTTTCAGTATTTAAAATGTCAAGAGTATTTTGTCCATCTGAGATTCTGCACTCCATGAAAAACTCACTTGGACACTGGGGCCAGAAGCTGATGACAGTCATTAAGTTGACTACTGTCAGTCTTGAGCTGTTCCCACGGGAGTTAAGTATGTCTCAACACTAGCATGATATAAAAAGGGACACTGCAGCTGAATGAGAAAAGAATCAAAATCCACTTTGTACATAAGTCAAAGTCCTAATGGATTTGTACCGTCCTCCCATTTTGTTTTCGGAAGATTAAATGCTACATGTGTAAGTCTGCCTAAATAGGTAGCTTAAACTTATGTCAAAATGTCTGCAGCAGTTTGTCAATAAAGTTTAGTCCTTTTTTAATCAAAGTAAATGTGATGAATTGTCATTTTTGGGGGTGGACAATAAAATAGTTTTCTCTTTCACATAAACTTAAATTAACTCTAAAGTTAATGGGCTTGTTAAAAGTTTGGAGACATTTTTAAAAGTGGTGGTGGGGATTTTATTTTAAGGTTACCAAAAAAAAGTTTATGAGTTGTTAAGTTTTAGTTTAAAAAGAATCAAAGCTTTTTCACCCCCTGGAAGTTGTTGAAAGCAGTTTTATCCAGTCCTATCAAAAAATTCTAATTTTTAGAGAGAAATACCCAACTGACACAGATTGGTTTTTATATGAAGGTACAGGTACTTCAAGTGCCAGCCACCCTGGCTTCCGTCTTCTGTAGAGCCCCTAGGTGGCCTTAAATAATAACACTAAATGTCTGTGTTCAGCCATTGATTTCACCTGTGTTCAGATACCACAATTCAGCAAACCCTGGGTGCCCTTGAGGGTCACCCTTGCAATCCTAGAGATGCAGTAACAATTGAGCTGGCCTTGGGAAGGAGCTGGCATGATAGACTTGGTCCTGAACTTCTCCCACAAGACTATGAAAACAGTGGAATTGGTTGGCCCTTTGTAAAAAATCACTCTTAATTCCCCGGGACCTCATTCTTTCCCTAAGAGCCACCTAAACTGCTCGGGGGTGAAAAATCCTCTTGTGTGGAGTGCCGAGCTGCCTGTAGCAGTGCATGATGGGCATTTTTCTTTTCTTTTTAAAACACACCAACAAAAACTGTATTTATAGATTGTGATAAAGTGCAAATAACTGAATTTTCCACCATGGTTTGAAGTCAGCTTTCAGGGCATTATGTCTTGTTTTGATGAAAAGAGATCACTCTATACCCCCCTTTTTAAAGGAAAATTATCGCAAGAGAATCAGGATGTGTAAAGCTAACATGCATCGCAAAAAACCAAAGGTAACATAAATGTCTGATTTTAATAGCACATATTTCTCTTTTATATAAACTGTGACAGCAACTTGCATAAACAATTCTTTAGTTGTTAATTTTAATGTTAAAACTTTGCAAAACTTGTTTAATAAAAATAGCTGTAAAAAGAAAAACCATATGCTGCCGCATAAATTATCCATAACTCTTAATAATCCTGCCCATCACAAGTGAACTGTAATGTAACCTGGGCACAAAGTCTGACATCTTAAATGACACATTGTAAAATTTCAATGACTGTAGATGAGAAGGCCTGCTGCACCCCAGAGTAAAGCTTTCTGCTCAGCTACTTTAAAATGTATGAGGATGAGCCCCCAAGACACCTTATCTATATTCACAGTGCAATGTTATTTGAATTTTCTGAAAAGTTGCATGTTTCTTTCCTGTATTGTGTAAAATGCATGCAGGATCTCTATCTTATTTTGTACATCTTTAAAGCTTTTTCCAAACATTCATTCCTTATTTCTCGATTTTCAGGTGACTGAAAATTCCTGAGGCTTTTTCCTGGAAAAGAGTGGGTATTGGAGACCCATGTCAGGTATGTGAAGGTGGTTTGCATTGTGTGTCATGATGGCAAGGCAGTAGTGCTAAGAGGTGGTCAACAGGCTAGTCTTTCCTAAACTCAGTTTTACCATATGTAATCACACTTCTGTGTCACTTTACAGGATGTGATGAGCTTATGTGTAATAGTTAAGACCAGCCAGTGTCAACTTGCATCTCTTGAATTTTACCTTATTCTGCGAATAATCCACTGGTGCAGGCTTTCATTTGGAGTGTATTTTTTGCAAGTAACAAAGTGCCTAATGGAAATAAAAGGGCCTGTATAGGATTTTTGGGGAAGCACAAGTTGCACAGACTAGAAAAATCTGTTTTGGGAGCTGGAGAGATGGCTCAGCGGTTAAGAGCACTGACTGCTCTTCCAGAGGTCCTGAGTTCAGTCAGTTCCTAGCAACCACATGGTGGCTCACAACCATCTGTAATGGGATCTGACACCCTTTTCTGGTGCGTCTGAAGACAGCTATCATTGTTCTCACATACATAAAATAAATGAATCATTTTTTGTTTTTTTGTTTTTTAAAGAAAATCTGGTTTGGGAATCATAGTGGATATAAGAGAGTGAGCAGGCTGGGGTCTGGGAGTCACTTCCTAGTCAGGATTACTAGAAAGGTAAGCTCTTGCCTGTGTTTGGCTTCTCTTTTCTACTGAACACACAAATTCCATAGAAGAAATACCAGACAGAATTCTCTTGAGTCAGCTTAAAGCCCTCACTTTAATACTCTTGTGTAAGAAAGAACTAATTCCTCAAAACTAAAATTCAGTCTGGTGTAGTTGCTCAGAATGTCACCTCAGCCCTCAAGAGTCTAAGGCATGGGAAATGACACTCTTTGAAGACTCACCTGGACTGTAGACTGCAACATTGTCTAAACCACAAAGGAGGGAGGAAGGGTGAGCTAAAAGGGAATTTATGTCAGAAAAGGACAAGTGTGTAGTAATTACTATACAGAAGCAATGACGTCAAACAACTTCCTAAGGCTATAATAAGTCAACGTTGATTGTTGGTAGGTTGTGCCATGTTAACCCTATAGTCAGAGTGTGTAAGGAAATGGTGTTTCTCACACTGAAGAGAAATTTTGTGGTGGAAAGAACACTAAGCATGGTTCAGTGCACACCTGTGATTCCCCCTCAGGAAGAGGAGGCAGGAGGATCAGACGTTCAAAGTTAATCCTTAGCCTACAAAGCAAGTTGAAGCCAGCCTTTGCTATATGTGACACTGTCTTTAAAGACTGAGCAGGGAGGGACAGAGGAATGGACATGGAGCCTGATAAACCAGAGCTGTCTTTTGTTCCAAAACAATTTGTTTCTACAACTAGGAAAGGCAGATGGTCAGAGTGAAGTAGTGAGTAGTGACAGAAGAAGGAATTGTCCTCAGTTGCTACCCAGTGTTCCAGGTAAGAATGAAGATGCATCCGGAGCTGCTAGGCTATTGTGGTGCCACCAGTACAGCCAGGTCAGACCGTTTTCTGGTTGAAAAAGAATAGCGTCCTATTAAAACCCAGGCTTCTCTCATATGAGAGAGGAGGATAGATATGAGCTTAGCAAATAGAGTTGATGGGAGATTGACATAGTAAAAGATGCTTGGCTTAGAGGTTTTGGAGTTCTGTAGCCCACAACAAGGCTTGGTCCCAAGAACAAAAGTAGGCTAATGAAGAAGAGAACTCAAATTGAATGCCTACTGTGTCTATCTATATTTACAACCGGTAGTGGGAATGGTAAGATAATTTATATTGCTTCTGTAGCAAGTTGAGAGGATAACATACCAAGATTGCTACATGCCAAGAATCCATTCTCTGGAACAACTGCTTCTATAAAACAATAACTGTATTCAGTATTCTCTCAGAGGCTGTTTATTAAAGATGAACAGTAAAGATGGCAAGCTGGGTGGTAGGAGCAGTACTTGGGAGGCAGAGGCAGGATGATCTCAGAGTTCAAGGCCAGCCTGTTCTACAGATTCCAGGACAGCTGAGCTACACGAAGAAACTCTGTTTCAGAAGAATAGAACAAAAACCTGCTGTCAAAGTAGCAGAGTTGTTCCTTTTACATCAGATATGACATTCGGGTAGGGAGGCATCAGTCACTACTGTATGTATGTGGAGGCCTTCAGACAACTTTGTAGAGTTGGTTCTCCCACCTACATGGGTTCCTGGGATTGATCTCAAGTCACCAGGCTTGTCTCCAGACATCTACCTTTACCTACTGTGTTATTGCTAGCTTCATCATTTGTTATATATAACGGAACTTTAACCCCAGAAAATACCAGTAGCAGCCAAAGTCACACAGTTACATAGCAAAGGTAAGATTTTCAGGTGGTGTGATTTTTAGACTATGATCAGTCACAAATGTGTACTGCATTTGGAAGTACTTTCACCTGCTAGTTAAGGCCATCTTGGAGAACCCATTGCCATTCTTTTTCCTGGAAGGAGACTTCTCGTCCAGGACATTATCATAAATACTAGCTGAAACGTGAGCCGGTAAGCTTGTGCAGCTGAATCACGGGTCTTCATCATTTTATCATCTCCCTCGAGAGAGCAAGGGCTATATAGTTACATTATTCTGCTGCTACACCGGCTAAGAAGCCTGGAGCTGCTGAGGGGCCTCAGGATTGTAAGGGCAATGGTGAAACTTAAATTCATAAGGAATTATGTGCATTGGTGATTTGTCTACATGCATGTGTGTGAGGGTGCGGAACCAGAGTTAGAATTGTGAGCTGCCATGTGGGTGCTGGGAATTGAACTCAGGTCCTCTGGAAGACTGGACTGCTCTTAACTGCTGAGCCATCTCTCCAGCCCCCTCCAAAGCAAGTTTATAGAACTCTTAAGTGAGTTATTTGCCAAGTCTCCATTTTGCTGATAGTTGCATCTTCGCAGCATTATTTAACAGAATGAGCAAACGCATATAAAACAAGGGCTAGGGATATAGCTCAGTTGGTAGAGTGTTTGTACAGCTGTGTAAATACTAGTTGTAATAAAAGAATAGGTTAGGGCTAATTTTAAAAAGTTGAAATTTAAGAAAAATTTTAAGGTATAAGATTGAGAGTTTTTAGAACCACGCCTATGTTTGACAATTGTGCTAGCAAAGTAGGGGGAAGGCCTTAAAGTGGTACCACTTGTGTGCTGGAGAATAAAAGGGATGGGTAGGCCCTCTCCCCACAGCTGGACTTGTTGTTGCCTGACATCCTTTTGGTTCCTGTATTACAGGAAGGGGAATCATTGCTCTCATACCAGGTGTTTGGGCTGAATATGTTTACAGTCTCCTAGTCATCTGTGCTTTACAAAGCCAAGACTGTGACCTCGAACTTCTGATGATCATCCCCACCTCTCATTCAATGCTCTTTAAGGACTGTTGCTTGAGATAACCATCTCTTTTTATTGTTTGAACTTAGGTCTTACATAGAACTCACTAGACCTCATTTATAGAGAATTGCCTGCCCCTGCCTCCTGTGCTGTACTTAAAGATGTATGCTTCCATGCTGGGTGTGGTGGCACACGCCTTTAATCCCACCACTTGGGAAGCAGAGGCAGGCGGATTTCTGAGTTCGAGGCCAGCCTCAGAGTGAGTTCCAGGACAGCCAGGGCTACACAGAGAAACCCTGTCTCCAAAAAAACAAAAAACAAACAAACAAACAAAAAGATGTATGCTTCCCACACCTGACACTTACATTTAACAGAAACTCACAAGGGATGGGTGGAGGGCAGGATCTCTGTAGCTTTGGCTGTCCTGGAATTTACTGTGACTAAGCTAGCCTTGAACTTAAAAGAGATCCACCTTCTTCTGACTCCCAAGTACGTGTGCCACTGTGCCTAGCCAATCTGTCCATCTTCAGTTCTCAGTCAGTGCTAACTGCTGAGCATGTCATAGCAGCATCCCGTTTAGCTCTCACAGTTCACCGTGTGATGCTGGGACGTTGGCTGGGATCCGGCTACCCACACTATGCTAGTCAGGCATTCTTCCAATGTGATCACAGCATTGGAGAGCTAAAATCCAAACTCGGGTCTTAGACTCATACTTAACTGTTGCCTTCTGGATTCTTGTAATCTGTTTGGTTAACCACAAGATCAATTTACTGAAAGGTGCTCCAAACTATGGTGTTTAGAATTCATGCTTCTGTCTTTGTTTCTAGATTTCTGTAGTTAAAAGATTTGGATTTTTACGAATTTACAGCCTCTGTAGACTCACATGCACTCTTAGATTTCAGATTAATAGTCATTGCATGCTTAGAGCTAGCACACATCTAATGAATATTTAATAACATGGAATAGACAGGCTAGAAACAGCTGTGTGAGACAGCAGCTGCTGGGGGGAGGGGAGAAAGTACACTACACTGCCTAATTACCCTTCTTCTGTTTTCAGGCCTAGAGAAAAAGGACTCTTTGCTAGGCCCTTTAACAGAGAAGTTCTGTGGTGGAAAGCACTGCACCGTGGACTAGTTGGGTCCAATTAGCAATTTTCCATACCCTGAGGTGGCCAGATATACATTCTCCCCTAGCAGTCTCCTACAGGAGAAAAGCTGTGTGTTTTCTCCTAGCTGTAATCCCTAGCACTCACTCAGCAGACAGAAGCAGGAGATAAAAGGCCAGCCTTTACTGGCTTACTGACAAGACTGGTGACTGGCAGGAAGTTGGATTTAGTAGGTAGAAAGAATGTATACATGGACTCAACAGCCATGTGTGGTGGTACACGCCTGTGATCCCAGCACTCCAAGAGCCATGCATGGTGGTACACGCCTAAATGGAACTTTTCAAGAGTAGCCTTCATTACATAGCTAGATAAAGGTTAGCCTAGGCTGCATAAAGAAACCTTGTTTTAAACAAAATTTTCTCCAAAATTTCTGAGTTGTTTGTTGTGATAGGGTGTGACTGTATCACTAGCTGGCCTCAAACTTTACAAAGATTCACCTGCCTCTGCTTCCCAAGTGCTGAGGTTACAGGCACATGCCACCATGCCTAGGTATTTATTTTTATTTATTTTAAAAGCTCATTT